TTCATAATTTCGCAAAAATCCTCCGCTATACTTTTAACATTTAAAACATCAAAATAAGGACAAAGCAACTGAAGTTAATGTCAGTTTGTGACCAACTCCTCATTAAATCTTTCGTTCTGACTGAAGTGGTCTAATTAATCCAGCAGGTCCCAGAGAACTACACCCCACCTGCTCCCATCACCGCCCCTATTTTGACCCCGCTGGGCGCCGACCCACACACACAACCCATTTCCTCTGGAACCCCACAGGCAATGGTGCAGGGTCACCATGGTAATCAGGTCCAGTACGCAGGCATGCATCAGACCCAGCTCCCCTCCCAAAGCATGAATCCTGCAAATCCAAACTCCAACATGGAGGGCGCACCTGGAGCACCAACTGGAGATGCCATCCAGGTAATGCAGACCTCAGGTGAAGCTGAATCTAACGATGAGATGATCATTCCTTTCATTTTCCCCTCTCTGTTTCTGAACTGCCTCAGCCTCTGCAATCAATCCCTGCTGAGAAGATCACAAAGAAGCCCATCCCTGATGAACACCTGGTCCTAAAGACCACATTCGAAGGGCTGATCCAGAAGTGCTTGACTGTAGCTACAGATCCTGTGAGTCTTCATCTGCGTCCAGCTCTGTCTGATACACGTGAATCCGTGTCTCATCATTTTATCTGTTCACAGCAAACCAAGAGGAAACTGGACGATGCCAACAAACGCTTGGAAGCTCTCTATGACAAACTTAGAGAGCAGACGGTGAGTTTCCAAAGAGCTTCTACAACTTTTAACTTCCACTACACAGGTAAAGGTTTTCACAACCAAAGTAAGGCGCCACAAATCCTGATCAGAGCATCCCTAATATTAACAGTAATGTTGGCCAAACATTCAATTTTCTTGCTGGTTCTGATCCAAAAGCGTATTTTCCATTCAGATAGTATTCATTAGCACGGTGCTAAAATCGCTTATTAGCTTAGTATTTCACGCAAATGAATTTCACAATCTGATAAAAATGTATTTGGATACAAAAATCATATTGTACCATATATGGACATGAGATGCACCGATAGCTGGGCTAAGCGTATCGGCTGATATCAGAAAAGGATTCAACTATTGAGTTAATGAACCATTTATTTTGCTATGTGAGTGAAAACTTTAGCTTTCTCATAAATATTGTTTAAAAAAGGTAACAGATTAACACAGATATAAATTTACTTTATACTATTTAATACTATTTATACTATTTAATAAAAAAATAAGTTCACTGAGTTGGATCTCTTAATATTTAATCAATGTCCAACTGAGTGAATTAGTACCGTATTTTCACGACCATAAGGCGCACCGTACTAAAAGGCGCAGTCTCAGTTATGTGTCCCATTTCTGTATTTAACACACACATAAGGCGCACCGTACTAAAAGGCGCAGTCTCAGTTATGTGTCCCATTTCTGTATTTAACACACACATAAGGCGCACCG